AAAGTGTTGCTATTAGGGCTTCTGAAGCCAGGTTAAGAAAAGGTGAACCCATGACCAGACATTGGCTAAGTTGGAAAACTCTGTGCTATATGCATTTTGTGTATATTATACCACATTCAAAATAAAATTAAAATGGTCCAAGTGTTGTATAATCTGATATCTACTACAGTTCTGTTTCTGTTGTCTGATGCTTTGGCTGATTTTCACAATGCCTTATTCCTGTGTTTGTTGGTTTGGTTCTTTTTTTTTTTTTATTTTTTTCCTTGAGGCTGGCCCCGAACTCCCTGTGATCCTCCTGCCTCAGCCTCCCGACTCCTGGGACCACAGGTGTGCACCACCCCCACCAAGCCTATTTTTTATGGGTTTTTTTTTTTTTTGCCCCATCTTCTTGAGTTGAACACTTGGCCCGCGAGTCCTTCTTCTTTTCTATCGTAAGGCTCTAAACGTCCCAGGCAACACATCCTCCTCTGCAGCCACAGGTCCTGTGCTGTTGCAGAGCAGTGACTGCCAGAGCTGTTTCCAGCAGCAGCCTGTCCCACCGCAGGGTCCTGCACTGCCCGCCGATTCTTTTGAGACCCCTTGCTCAGGTCTAAACTGTGCAGCTGAATCTCACCATCGAGGGCGGCGATGGATGTCCAGGGCACTGCTGGGAGAAGTAAGGGTGTCACTGAAACCGCCTTTTCAGAACACTGACCAGATGGGCCGGGGATTTAGCTCAGTGGTTCTGCGGCTGCCTCACAAGAACGAGGACCCGAGTTCGATCTCCGGTACCAAAAAAAAAAGAAAAAAGACTAGCTACCAGAACACTGGCTAGATATACAAATTGATGGGAAGCCCATCACGCAGGCCTGTAAACCCAGCACTCAGGAGGCTGAGGCAGGAGGGTCACCTTGAGTTCGAGGCCAGCCTGGGTTACATAGCGAGACCCTGTCTCCAAAAATATGAATTAATTAAAAAATAAGGTGAAGCCAGGGTGGAGGACCAACCCCAACTCCAGGTCCCAGCCTCAGTCAGATCCGTCCTCTTCCCTCCTCCCCATGCGTTGGTGTCAGACTTCCTGGCCCGCGTTCTTCTCCCCGGGGTCCGGGTGGCCTGGGGCAGGGGACGGGAGCCCTGGTGCTCCCGGCGGCTGGTGTCCCGTGTCTCCCACAGGTCTGAGCATGAAGGAGCAGCGCCGGTTCGGGATGACAGCCCGCAGGGGCACGGTGCTGGCCGGCGCCTTCTCCATCTTGGCCACGCACTTGTACCTGATCTTCGAGGGGAAGCACCTGGCCTGGGGCAACTGCACCGACCCGGGCCTGCCGGGCGGCGAGAGCTCTGGGGCCGTCTTCCGGCGCTTCGTGGTCTGCTGGAGCCTGGCCATCGTCCTGTTCCTGTCGCTGGTCACCCTGGCGGTCAGCGGCTTCCTGCTGTACTCCGTGTACGCCCAGGTCTACCGGGGCCTGCTGCTCTACGTGTCCTGGATCGTCCTGTACGAGGCCGCCAACCTGGCCGTGCAGATCCTCACCAGCGGCACCAGCGCCGGCGTCGTCAGGGTCATGCGCTGGTTCGGCCTCGTGGCCCGCGCCTCCCTGCACTGCTTCTGGCTGTCCTTCGTGGTCACCTATGCGCGCCTGAGCTACAAGAGCCAGCCGCTCGGCGACATCCTGTCCTACAGCAGCAGACGCGGCTCCGCGGCCGCCAGAAGACTACCGCGGAAGCAGTGAGCCCGGCTCTGCAGGCCCGGG